TTTTTATTTATTTATCTTTGTACTGAGGATTGAACTCAGGGAGCTTAGCCATTCAGCAACATCCCCAGCCCTTTTTACCTTATTTTGAAACAGGATCTTGCTAAGTTGCCTAGTGCCTTGCTAAGCCACTGAAGCTGGCTTTGAACTCATGATCCTCCTGCCTTAGCCTCCCAAGCTGCTGGGATTACAGGCATGAGCCATGGAGCCTGGCTCTCTGGGATGCTTTTTAATTTTTTTTTATTTGTTTTAATTAGTTACAATGACAGTAGAATGCATCTATGCACTTTGATATAGCATACATATATGGAATATAATTTTATTTTTCTGAGTGTACATGTTGCAGAATCATATTGGTCATGTAGTCACATATATACATACAGTAAGAATGTCTGTTTTTTTTTTTCTACTTTATTTCCTATCCCCACATCCTCTCCCCTCCCCTCCCATAACTTCCCTCTACCTAATCTAAGGTAACGGTATTCTTCCCTAGTGCCCCATCTTATTGCGAATTAGCATCCACATATTAGAGAAAATATTTGGCCTTTGGTTTTTTGGGATTGGCTTATTTTGCTTAGCATGATATTCTCCAACTCCAACCATTTACTGGAAAATGCTGTAATTTCACTCTTCTTTAAAACTGAGTAATATTCCATTGAGTATATATACCACATTTTCTTTATCCATTCATCTATTGAGAGATACCTAGGTTGGTTTCATAATCTAGCTACTGTGAATTGAGCTGCTATAAACATTGATGTGGCTGCATCACTGTAGTATGCTGATTTTAAGTCCTTTAGGTATAAATCAAGAAGTGGGATAGCTGGTTCAAATGGTGATTCCATTCCCAGTTTTCTGAGGAATCTCCATACTGCTTTTCATATTGGTTGCACCAATCTGCAGTCCCAGCATCAATGTATGAGCATACCTTTTCCCCATATCCTCACCAACATTTTTTGTTGCTTGTATTCTTGATGATTGCCATTCTGACAGGAGTGAGATGAACTCTTAGTGTAGTTTTGATTTGCATTTCTGTAATTGCTAGAGATGTTGAACCACTTTTTCATATATTTGTTGATCAATTGTATTTCTTCTTCTGTGAAGTGTCTGTTCAGTTCCTTGGCCCATTAATTGATTGGGTTATTTGGTTTTTTAAATATTTTATTTTTTAGTTGTAGTTGGACACAATATCTTTAATTATTTGTTTATTTTTATGTGGTGCTGAGGATTGAACCCAAAGCCTCGCCCATGCTAAGTAAGCATTCTACTTCTGAGCCACAACCCCAGTTCTGGATTATTTGTTTCTTTTGGTGTTAAAATTTTTGAGTATTTTGTATATCCTAGAGATTAATGCTTTACTGGAGGTGCATGTGGCAAAGATTTTTTCCCAGTCTGTAGGCTGTCTTCTCACATTATTATCTGGGATGCTTTTAAGTACTTTCTGTGCTCTGCACTGGAGAGCAGCTACTTCTGAATCTTCTTTTTCTACATACACACCTGCAAACTCCTTTGGGTCAGGGACTATACCTTGTTTTTGTGTTTCTTTTATAGTAAAACAGTAAATACTTGGTGGAATTGAATAGAATTCAAGAAGTGTGCAGTTTTTAATTTCATTTTCTTTGGGGGAGTCATTTATTAAGTACGAAAACAGAACACACATTAAACAATCATAACCGAGTTACAACTGGTCATCCCAATGTGTCACTATTTTTCCTCCTATTAAAAAATATTTTCTTGTTTTAGGGAGGTGGCATGTCTATAATCCCAGCTCCTGTAATTGGGAGGCTAAGGCATGAGGATCCTAAGTTTGAAGCTAGTCTGGGTGACTTAGTAAGACACTTTCTCAAAAATAAGATTTTGAAACAGGTTGAGGATAGGGCTGGGGTTGTGGCTCAGCGGTAGAACAGTCACCTAACATGTGTGAGGCCCTGGGTTCAATCCTCATCACCACATAAAAATAAATAAATAAAATAAAGGTATGGTATCCAACTACAGCTAAAAAATAAATATTTAAAAAAAGAAAAAGATTGAGGATGTATGTAGTTCAGTGGTAGAACACTTTCAGAGCATGTGTGGGGCTCTGGGTTCAAATCCTAGCATAGTGTTCTCTTTTTTAAATTAAGTTTTTATTGTAGAGAATTTGGAAAATTAAGAAAAGAAAAAAATAGGAAAATGTAAATGATTCAGATTGCCATTTGCCAACCAAAGATTTACTGCCTATCCTTCTTATTCCTATGTAAAAATTTAAATGCAATTTTACATGTAAGTGTGCATATAATACACATTTGTGTTACAAAACAAAGGTCCTATTATGCATGCTGATATATAATGTTCAATTTTTATTTTGTGCACAGAATTAGATCTATCCATTTATCTGACAGATTTATCATAAGGAATTGGCTCACACTATTGTGAGAGCTGGGAAGTCTGAAATCTTCAGGCAGGCCACAGGCTGGAAGCCCAGGGAGTTGATGTTGTGGCTGGAATCTGAAGGCTGTCTGAAGGCATAATTACCACAGGAGGACCTCAGTTTTTTGTTTTTCTTTTTATGGCCTTCAACTATTTGGATAAGACCCACCCACACTATGAAAGGTCATTTACACAAAATACTACTGACTTGAATCTCCGCCCCCACCCCCAAGCACTGGAATCAAACCCAGGAATATTCTATTTTATTTTGAGACAGGGTCTTATTAAGTTCTGAGGCTGGCCTCAAATTTGTGGCACTCTTGCCTCAAAACTTCCAAATTTCTGGATTACAGTATGTGCAACCATGCTTGGCTAAATCTTAATCTCATCTAAAACAATACCCTTATGGCAACAAGACTAGTATTTGACCAAAAACTGGGTATCATGGTCCAGCCAAGTTGACACATAAAATTATCCAGCACATAGCCTCCTGAACTTGATTTTTCTCACTCCACATTATGGAGTGTTTTGTGTTTAGTTGGAGTTAATTCATATTCACTGCTTCATAATATTTTATTGTAGACAAATATCACCACCAAATATCCATTTTCTGCCCATAGTCCTTAGGGCATGAATATTCTCACAGATTGTTGAACCTATTGGAGCTTGTCTCCTTGGGAAGATATGTGGGGCTTGTCTTAGGTAGATACCTAGTAGTAGTGTCTATTGAGTTGTTGGGCATCTGACTGAGTTGATAAAGAGATGTCAAATTTTCCCAAGTCTTATACGTGTTTCAGTCCCTGCAAATTTATGTAAGTAAGAGCTCTCTTTGATCTATGTCCCCTCTTTCTATTGTCAAATTCTTAATTTTTGCCACTGGAATGTTAAGTACTATCTCTTGCTGCCTTGGTTTGTCTCCCTGATTCTGAGGAGGTCAAGCATCTCTTTGAGTGTTTGGTGGCTGTATGTGTTTCCTCTTTAGTAAAATACCCATGTCTTTTGCCTGTTTTTTCTACTGGGCTAGGAGTTCTGTACATCCCCTTAACACAGTCATTTTCTGATTATGTCTTCTCCCACTGATAGTTTGTGTTTCACTTCCTTAAGAGTATCCTTTTTAAAAAATATTTCTTAAAATATTATTTAATTGTGGTCAGAACACTTAACATGAGATCTACTCTCTTAACAGACTTTTTAGTACATAATACTGAATTATTAACCATGGGGCAATGTTGTAAGCATATTAACTTAAACTTAATACCCACTGATTAGCAACTCTCCCTCCCCCAACCCCTCAGTCCCTGGCAAACATTATTTCACTCTTGGTTTCTATGAGTTTGACTGCTTTGGATTCCTTATGTACGTGGTATCATGCAGTATTTGCCTTTTTGTGACTCATTTGTTTTCTTTACATAATGTCCTCAAGGTTCATTATGTTGCTGTATATTGTGAAATTTCCTTTCTTTCTAAGGCTTATTGACATAGTATAACACATTTTCTTTATCCATTCATCCATCTAGGGATATTTAGATTGTTTCCATAACTGGGTTGTTGTGAATAATACTGCTGTGAACATGGAGTGAGTGTGTCACTTCAAGATACTGATTTCACTGATCTCAGTGGCGCAAGCTGTAACCCCAGTGATTTTGGAGGCTGAGGCAGGAGGATCACAAATTCAAAGGCAGCCTCAGCAATTTAGTGAGACCCTGTCTCAAAATAAAAATAAATAAATAAAAGGATGGGGAATGTGGCTCCGTGGTTAAGTACCTCTGGGTTCAATCCTTTTGGTACAAAAAAATAAAAATGCTGTTTTCATTTTTTTTTGGATAAATACCCAGCAGTGGGGCTTGCTGGATCGTATGGTAGTTCTAGTTTTAATTTTTTTGAGGAAACTTCATACCGTCCTGTAGAAGTTACATGAGACTCTTCAGGATTACATGAGACTCCTAATGACAGCTTTTACCAATATATCTCAAACAATGAAGAGTATCCCATAGGATCCCTGGTTCTCATATCAGAATCACCCAGGGAGGGTGTGATATCCTGATTTAGTTGGTTTAGGGTGAGGCCTGGCCATTGGGTTGTTGCAGAAATCTCCAGTTGGTCCTAACCTGTGCCTGGATTGGAGGGCCGTGAAGCACTTCCTGTGGCTAAGAAACTATTAGCTCCAGTAGAAAATTAGGAAAATGTGTATTTATTAAGACAGCCCTCAGGCAGTTCCAGAAGGGAATGGGTATAGGATACACTTGAGGAATCCTCTAGCATTTAAATCAACTGGAAACTGAGAACCATTGGCTCACACACACACTGGGCCCTGTGCTTGGGCCCTTTGGTGTAGGAACAGTCTTATGGTGTGTCATTTGTTCCTCTCCCTCCGCTCCAGACTGAGGTGCAATTGTCATCTTTTCAATTAAACAAGCAGTATATGGATGCTTCCTTGCTGAGAAAGACCCAACAGAGCAGGAGCAGGGACAGTGTTTTTGACATCCATCTACCCCACACACCATGCGCTCCCAGAGGCACCACCTTTCTGCTGACCAACACCTGGGCTCTCCCCACTTGGGGTTTTGGCAGAGCTGTTCCTGAACCCACACCACCTGTGTGCCTGCTCCATCGCCTCCTGTCTGCCACTCTTTAGGCGGCCAGCGGCCCTTCATGCTTGTCCTTGGACATTTGATGAGTTCTTTGAGCTTTAATTGCTTTGCGGTGGGGCTGTTTCCAGATGGCCAGCCCTGTCTTTCTGTCGCTGTTGGACTCCTGCTTGCTTTGCCTGCGCGGGACACGTCGCCTCCATCTCCAATCCTTGTGCTTGAGGCCAGTTGCCGGCTCCCTCCAGCCAGGCTAGTTGTCCCCACGTCGGAGGGCTGTCCAGCCATCTGCTCTCCAGCGCCAGCTTGTCTGGATTTAGCCAGGATCCGAAATGGAACTGCCACCTCAGAGCAGTCTATCCACCAAATTCTTATTTTCAAAGTGTGGCTGCTCTCTCCTGTTTTCAGAGTAGGAAATGGTCCACTCTCCTTCAGGGAGAGTTGATACTCTCTCTTTTTGATAAATTAACAGAGGAGTATTTTCCTGCCTGCTGGATGAGATAAACCATGATATCCTTCACCTTTTTTTGTCCTCCTCTGGTTGAGTGAATTTTTCACTTAACTCAAGTTTTAATTCAGGCAGTAAAAATATTTTAAAAGTATACTTTAGGGGGCTGGGGAGCCCAGTGGTAGACTGCTTGCCTAGCATGTGTGAGGCACTGGGTTCGATCCTCAGCACCACATAGAAATAAATAAAGGTCCATCAACAACTAAAAAAAAAAATTTTTTTTTTTTTAAGTGTGCTTTAGGGCTGGGGTTGTAGCTCAGTAGTTGAGCGCTTGTCTCACATGTGTGAGGCACTGGGTTGGATCCTCAGCACCACATAAAAATAAATAAATAAAATAAAGGTATTGTGTTCATCTACAACTAAAAAATTTTTAAAAGTATACTTATGTAAAACTTCCTAAAATATTAGAGGAAACTTAAAATGAAAATTCACACAGTCCTGTCACCCCAATGCACTTGTTTCCCATCATTCTCTCACTTCGCTTCTACTTTCTACCAACACGTCTATTTCTGCATTGTAATTATATAGTATGTTATATGTAGGAGATTGAAAATAAAATAATTCTTTCCTTCCCTCTGACCATACATTATTGAATAAATATGTTGCTGTGTTTTTTCTGTTGTCTTAGTGATCACCAATTTAAATGAGCTTTGTGAAATTTATGAAACTACATGTTCTGTGGATTGGAAATTTAGATCATTTCCAGTTTTTGTTTTTTTGTAAGAATATTTACATGAGCAGCTGGGGGGATTTTGGTTTTGTTTTATTTTGGTTTTTGGTGCCAGGGATTGAACCCAGGGGCACTTAACCATTGATACATATCCCCAGATGTTTTTATTTTTTTGAGACATGGTCTTGCTAAGTTGCTTAGGGCCTTGGTAAATTGCAGTGAACTTGCAATCCTTCTGCCTCAGCCTCCCAAGCCTCTGTGATTACTGGTGTGTGTCATAGCACCTGGTGAGCAACTGTTTTTGTTGTTGTTGTTGTTGTTGTTGTTGTAAATGGACACAATACCTTTATTTTGTTAATTTATTTTTATGTGGTGCTGAGGATTGAACCCAGTGCCTCACACATGCAGGGCAAGCACTCAACCATTGAGCCACAACCTCAGCCCCAAGCAACTGTTTTTAATTCAGTAATTCTGCAGGGCTGACCAGCAGGTATAAAGTGTAGTGGAAACCTGTCTCTCCACCACAGTTTCACACACATTCTACATCACACATTGTAGATCTCTGTTTTTTGTTTTTTAAGACAGGGTCCACTGTGTCACATAGGCTGGTCTCAAACTCCTGGATAAACAGATCCTTCTGCTTCAGCCTTTCAAGTAGTTGGGACTACAGGCACATACCACTTACCTGGCTCCATAGATCTCTGAATTCGCTTCCCCAAAACTGTAGTTTGATTACTTTCCCCTATATATATATGTTTTAAGAGATTGCCAAATAATATCATTGGAAAACTTGAGGAGAAAATTGAAATGCAAATAGGATGGAGAATATGCAATGTTAGCTCTCAAGGGCCTGTTCCCCAACACATGCTGTGTTGTGGGAATTGCCTCCCATGAGGCCCAGGGCCACTGTCCAGTCCTGCTCTAGCTCAAGGTCCCTGGCACTCTCTCTACCTGATCAGTTCCACTTAGCACCTCTAGACAAAACTTGAAAAAAGCATGATTATAAAATATGCTGATGAGCTAAACTGAGCTAGAACAGCTGACATGAAAAAATAAATCAGGATTTGAAAAGACCACAAGAGACCATCAAGGTAAAGACTTCTGTATGAGGCAGAGCACCCCACAATGATTGTTAAACTTTATCTGTGGATGTAGACAGAGTTTCAAAGGCAGGACAGAGAGGGAACAATATTGCTGGTAGGCATGGTAAAATTGTTAGTGATTTTTTCCTTTTATTTAAAATTCCCTTAGATATTTCCCAGTATAGATACACTGCATATACTAAGAATAAAATAATCCTTTAAAACAAACAAGGCTTGACTGAGCAGCTCAAAGGAAGGCACATGTGGGACTAGAGACGTAGCTTAGTGATAGAACACTTACTTAGCATTTTGTGAAGCCCTGGTTGCAGTCCCCAGGGTCTCAAAAAGAGAGAGAGAGAGAGAGAGAGAGAGAGAGAGAGAGAGAGAGAGAGAAGATGAAAAGGGGAAAAGAAGGGGAAGAAGAAGAAAGTGTAAAAGGGTAAGGGCTCACAATCCTAGTGTGTGTGGTGGAAAAGGGACAAACTGGGCCTTAGGTGCTACCACTATAAGACGGACACGTGAACCATATTGGGAAGATGAGAGTCCAAGTTGGCAATAAAAGAAGAGAAATGCTGGGTCATGCCATCAAAATTAAAAACTTTTGTGCACCAAAGAAAGTGAAAAGATAACTCCAAGAATGGAACAGAATAATTATAAATTATAGAACTGAGACTCAATAAAAAAAAGAGAATACAAAAATGGCAGAGGACCTGAATAGACATTTCTCCAAAATAAATATGTAAGTGACAAACAGTATATGAAAGTGACAAACAGCATATGAAAGTGACAAACCTGATTCCATGTGGATCACTGATAGAATACTTGGAGTATGTATCATTCTCCAATTAAAAAAGTAAGCTGGGCACTATGGTGCACGCCTGTGATTCCAGTGTCTTGGGAGGCTGAGGCAGGAGGATTGTGAAAAGCCAGCCTCAGCAATTTAGCAAGTTGCTAAGTAACTCAGCGAGATCCTGTCTCCAAATAAAATATAAAAAAGGGCTGAGGATGTGGCTCAGTGGTTAAGTACCTCTGGTTTCAAAATCTGGTACAAAAAATATAAAAATAAAAATAAAAAAGTATATTACAAGGAAGCTAGGGGGCTCATTTAGATAGTGACAGTTTAATCTGAGAAATACTCATGACTTGATCTTAAATGCTGGCAGAAGCACAGGGGTCAGAGATAGGGTCGAACTTAGTCCTGGCAGAGAAGCTACAAGGCCAAGGGGCAAGGTGGCCCCTCCAAGGGACAGAGAGAGGTTGAAGCTCAAACTCTGTGTGGGGACCTTAGCCTGAGGTGATTGTCATGGCTGTCTGTGAGTTGCTCCTGATCTCTGGCCAGTGGTTTGGTGGGTGGTCTTGGGTCTGAGGGCAGAAGGGTAGGAGGACCAGCAGAGACTGAACCCTTGTAGGGCCTTGCCAGGAAGGGGCCCTGCCTGCCACGGCAACCAGGCCTTCCACTCAATGACTCATGACCCAGTTCCATGGTCTTCCCATGAATCCTGGAAATACCCTTCCCAATTCTGGGAATTTCTTCCTATGACTTTGCTAGTCTCAAGTTGTGTCAACTCAGCTCTTTGGAACTTCAGGAAATAGTGATTCCCAGAGACTTGTCCTAAGTCCCCAAAGCCCTGTTTCCTATCCTCCATATTATGCATGCTGTCAAGCTTGCATGCCCAGAGAGCACAGTGTCAACTCTGCATTGGACCCAGGATGTTAGCACCTCTCAAGTATTATGTATAGCAGAGCTACACTGGAAAAAAAAAATTTTTTTTTTGATACCAGGGATTGAACTCACCTTTTAATGTTTTATTTCAAGACAGGGTCTTTCTAAGTTGCTTAGGGCCTTGCTAAGTTGCTAAAGCTGGCTTTGAACTTGAAATTCTCCTGCCTCACCCTCCCAAGCTGCTGGGATTACTGTTTATTTAAAAAAAAAACACACACACACACACAACATTTTAAATACTTTTTAAAAAGATACTCTAAAAATAGCTGGGCCTGGTGGCAATTCTTTAAAAATAGCCAGGTGGGCTAGGGTTATAGCTCAGTTGGTAGAGCACTTGCCTAGCATGTGTGAGGCACTGGGTTCCATGCTCAGCACCACTTAAAAATAAAATAAAGGTATTGTGTCCATCTACTATGAATAATGTTAAAAAAAAAAAAAGCCCCGCCAGGCATAAAATAAAATTAAGGTATTTTGTCCATCTACTATAAATAATATTTTTTTAAAAATCCAGGCATGGTGGCACATGCCTGTCATCCCAGTGACTTGGGAGACTGAGAAAGGAGGTTCACAAGTTCAAGGCCATCCTCAACAATTTAGCACGATACTGCCACGAAAGAAAAATAAAAATGTAGCTCAGAGGCAAAGTGCTCCTGGGTTTAATTTCAAGAATCACAAACAAAACAAAATAAAAAATAATAATAAACCTTTAAAAATAAAATCTCAATTATAAAATAAAATTTAGAGAGCCAGGGTCTTGCCTTGTTTCTGATGCTGTTGGGGTGCAATTGTAGGAGGCAGGGCTCCACACTTAGGGTACTGGGGCAGTCAACACCAGCCCCATTTCTAGAGATCTCAGTCTCTGCTTTCCACCAGCCATGTGACCTTCAACACAGGTTTGCCAGATTCAGCAAACTGAAGTATCGCAAGTTCACATTAGGCAAGGCTCATCTGAAATGCAAATGAACAAGTCAGCCTGCATTTATCTGGCGTCTTACTTGGACAGCTCGTTCCTTGTAGCTGAGAAACAGGCATGGTGAAAAGTCTCTCTACTTGTGTGCTGGTGTCGTCCCACCCATCAGATCTGGATACCAGAAGACACATACCTGCTTTCAGGAAAAAAGAATAAATTGGAGGCCCCCAGATGAGAGAGTTTCTGACGGTAGGGGGAATCCAGGTTCTGGATTTTCTTAGGCCTCTTCCTCTGCAGGCCTAGCCCCATCTTCAGTTCAGCTGTCCACATAAAGCCCTTTTCCTGTTGAGAAGTCATTGACTTTTGGCTCCCACCTGGACTCACTGTAGGGCTCT